GATCATCCCACGGAGTACCTTCATTCTTGGACCAGCGTATTTCTATCTCTGTTGTTAAATAAATATTGCCATAACATCACCTTCTAGTGTCAGTTGTTAAAAAATAAATATCTGCCAAAATCAGAATCTGCAGGTCAGACTTTGCAAAGCTTGGTGATAGGTTAGAGAACTGCAGTCGGTGCACCCCTACAGCCTAGAGACAGTGCCTTGATTGGCTGTTCATGATTGGGTCACCTGTTTGAGCTGACTGATTCTGATGTTGCATATAAATATCAAAACCAACTGCTGACTTCCTGTTTCGTTCAAGGTTTTCTCCAATGAGCGTCGACCACATGGGTGGTGGGGGTGCAGCCTCTGGGAGCCCATCCTCTGGTTGGTGCATCTTCATCTATAACCTGGGTCAGGAGGCAGACGAGGCGATGCTGTGGCAGATGTTTGGGCCGTTTGGTGCTGTTGTCAATGTTAAAGTGATCCGAGACTTTAACACCAACAAGTGCAAAGGTTTCGGCTTTGTTAGCATGGCAAACTATGAGGAGGCCGCCATGGCAATCCACAGCCTGAATGGGTACCGGCTGGGTGACAAAGTCCTGCAAGTGTCCTTCAAGACCAGCAAAGGACACAAGTAAAGAGGCCGTGAGGGGGCGGAGCTAAGATCACAACATGTGTTTGTATCAGTACAATTTTTCAACTGAAATAGTTTAGATTTTTCCCCTGAGCATGTGGTTCTTACTTTGAAGATAACTGAAATAATTCTCTTAAAAATCAGATCTTTTGTTCCTGAAGGTGGACCTTCTGGATGATTGACAGCTGTCAGACCAGGGAAACGTTCTGCTTTGTGTTGTTTTTTTAAGTTTTTTTTTATGTAGAGTTTCTTTGGGTCTGCAAACATCTGAAGTGTTTAAACGTTTTATTCTCCCACCTGTTCACGTATTTAGTGTGAAGATCTTTGATGTATTAAATGTCTTTGAATTTCTGCATTGRTTGTGTCTTCATTTTCTCAGATGACTGACAGCTGTCTGTTTCACAAAAAAACATTTAATATTTGTACAAATTAACACCTGAACTACCATCTGATGCTCATTTATTTTTACTTTTTTATTTCATTGTGATGTTAAACTGTTTATTCACCAATAAATCTGTTCATGATAATTATTTTGTGACCTTTGAGTTTATGTAAAAAGTAGACATGTTTTACATCCTTGCTTTTCACATTGAAATCCTTCAGCTGGAGTCCATAAAGTGGAGCTGCAGTGCTTTGGTCTGAATTCCTCCTTTTTCTAACTTTACCAGCTCCTCTTTCACCACTTTTCTCATGGTTTTTACAATTTAATTAAAAGATGAGAACAAGAGAAGACTTGTCCATCCAGACTTACATGTTGGACCAACAWCCCCTGTCTGTCTGGAATCAGCAGGGTTGGATGAGCACTCATTCAGACATGTCATCCTGTAAAACAAACTCAGATCAAAAACATGAGACAATAATAAGCTCGTTCCAACGGTCAACTTGTTGCTTTCAGGAACTCAAAGAAATGAAGAGAAAACATTGTGGAGGTCAGTGAATCTTACTTTTATTGACCAAGCACAGGGAAAAAATAAGGAATCACTCAATTCTGAGGAAAACAGTATGGAATCATGAAAAACAGATAAACAAAAATAAACACTTGATTTAATAATTATTTCAGAGACATTCTTCATGAAACTAGTTCTATCCTGTTTTAAGCTCACTGCTACAGCTTAAGGTTAATTAAAGTGACACTCATCAAATGACTTTAGGGCTGCTTTTTACTTTTATATTTTTATTGATTTATTTTTCATTTTAACATGCCATTGTGCCAATTAATGACCCTCAGCTGCATGTTTAAAACTAATATTAAAAACTTTACCCAATGAGCAGGTGCAGTATTGATAACCACCAACAGTGAATTTAGAGGAGTGTTTCACTTTTTCTGGTTTAGTGACAGGTCTACTCAGAACCAAACACAGAGCATCACGCAGCCTTCAGGACAGAAAATGACACTGTGTTATGGTGACAAAAAAAGAAAAGAGAATGTGTCATAAGTCAGATACCATAGACATATGTTCTAGAAAATCACATTTTGTCACTTCGTTGAGCTTGGTGATGTTTCAAACTGTTAAACACTGCCACCAACTGTTCAGGAGGATTATTACCCCACTAAAGGTTGTTTCACTGTGGAAGGGCTGTGTACGGTCAATGGGGTGGCCCTGGCCACCTCTGGCTCCGCCCCGGTTGTAGATGTATAACCCTATGTCTAATGTCTAACCCTAACCGCTCAGCGCTACACATTCTCTCATCACTGAGGTCCTCCATCCACATGGCAGAGAGGGGAAGGTAGAAATGACTCAGCTGTAAGGTTAAGGGTTAAGGTTAAGGGTTAAGGTTAAGGGTTAGGGTTAAGGTTAAGGGTTAAGGTTAAGGGTTAGGGTTAAGGTTAAGGGTTAAGGTTAAGGGTTAGGGTTAAGGTTAGGGTTAAGGGTTAGAGTTAAGGGTTAAGGTTAAGGGTTAAGGTTAAGGGTTAAGGTTAGGGGTTAGGGTTAGGGTTAAGGTTAAGGGTTAAGGGTTAGGGTTAAGGTTAGGGGTTAGGGTTAAGGGTTAGGGTTAAGGTTAAGGGTTAAGGGTTAGGGTTAAGGGTTAAGGTTAAGGGTTAAGGTTAAGGGTTAAGGTTAGGCTGTTGCTTGTTTTTTATGGAGCTACTGAGAGAAGTTAGCGTGTCAGGATACTCACAGTTAGCATCTTGTGTGAGTTTGATTCATGCAGTTTTTCTCCTTAAGAAGTTTTCCACCTGTTTTATCACCTGATTCCACTATAAGACACTTTGTTTRCTTTTCTCACAGTCATATTTAAAGAAATCCCGAATTGGACTTTGACCCTTTCTCCCAAATTTTGCTGTCATCATTTTGCAGACGAGCACTCAGCAGATTGATAACAAGTGTCTTTACGGACCATTAGCCAGCAGCTAATATGAAACTGCTTGATTTGAAGAAAAAAACAGTTTGTTTAATCAGTCCACAAGGYTTAAAATAAACTGACAAACACTTAAACAAAAGATATTCTATCTATAATTTCAGTTAGTTTTGTAAAAAGATAATATATTTCTAGTTAATTGTTGTTTTATTTTATTAAAGGTTTTATATTGTATATTGCTGACACCCCGGCCCTACAACACTGGTTTTTACCATCGTTGGTGGAGGAGGTCCAAGACAGATGAGACAGAGATGGAGGGATCAGAGGAAGCATCCATGTGTGAAGTGGAAATAGTTGGACAGGTTAAAGTTATATAATATAATATAATATAATAATATGTGTCAGTTTGACCATCAGTACCTGCTCATTGTTTTGAAAATGTGGAATCTGACTTAACTGCCGGATTAAAGCGACCAATAAAGACTGTAAAGCTGTAAGACAGCGACACCTGGTGGCAGGTTGGGGTAATGCAGTTTTTCTCTATCAACCTGGAGGCAGTTTCACTTCCTGCTTTTAAACAGACCTTTAAAAAGACCTTTCAGGCATTTTAAGAGCCCCAGCTTTTATCTGACACATATTTAATGATCGGTTGAGTAAAACTGAACAAAAAGGTTATCGTTTTCAAAGTTTAATATTTTTAAATTAGCTTTTGTTCTTAGATCTTCAGTCAGCCAATCCGGAGGGTCCTCTGTCACAAAGCCCCGCCTTATTTTACCCATCATGCATCTGTGTTTTTTCAGAAGCTAAAATCAAACTCAAAACTAAAGAAAAATAAGAACTTAAACCAGTAAATAACTGTGACAAGTTGTGTATAATTCTTTTTGTTGTTCAACAAGGTTGTTAGGGTTTTTACTCCTGGCAATCTTTTTTCCAACCAAACGTGTCTGAGTGGAACCGGAACCCAGAGGAAACCAGGAGGAAGGCCTCTAAATTCTGTTAGAAATACTTGTGTGCATTTTACTTTGGCAGCACATATACTAATGTGGGAACCACACAGAGAAGGTTAGCATGGACCCCTGCACAAGGATGACACACAAAATCCTGAAGCGTTCTCAATTTTCCACTTTTACACCCGTCTGTAAGTGCCTGCTGTTGTTAATCAAGACTGTAACAGTATCTTGGAGTTTTGTTGACGAGTCAGGGAGGAGCATGGTCMAGCCTCTGCAGCAGTGGTGACTCTACACTAGTCTGTTGTGAAGAGCAGAGCTGCAAAACAAGTTTGATTTTATTTAGCAACAATATAGCATGTGCATACAATGCTCTCGTGGTGAGACACACTACTTATAAAACCCTCTATACGCATCTAGAGTCATTTAGACTTCTTGTACCCTCCAACTATTTGTACCACAATAAGTAAGTGTTTCTCATTTTCTTGTGTTATCTAAGTACTAATAATGGAAGCACAATATGTGTGTACATGCACTATTGTCGCTAAATAAAATCAAACTTGTTTTTGTTTTTCATCTCCGCTCACTCTTCACCACAACAGACTAGTGAAGTCACCACTGCTGCAGAGGCTGGACCACACTATGGAGTCGTTTTATTCAAAATAAATGAATAAATAAATAAATGTCCCCATGAAAAGGTTAGGCCAAAGAAAATGGCAGTCACCTCAGAGCAGGGTTAGGGTTAGGCTGAAGAAGATGGCTGATGATCAGTACACGGTTCATCACAGCCTCAGAGCCCCCAGGGGAGCCCATCAGCCCAGAAGAACACATCTCAAAAACAGATATACATTTCTTGTTTTCTCATAACCAGTAAATATCCATTTACAATACAGGTACAAAATTCACAGATGAGTCATCCAG